CCGCTGGTCCAAGGTGACCCATTTTTAGGGATGAAGGTTGACACATCTTTTTCCCTCAGAGGGGCGAGTGGATCTGAATTGCCATCCTTTCACTTAGTAGCCCAATGCTTAACCTACTGTACTACCAGGGCACTTTTTATTTTTGCAAAACCAAAAAACCCACATTCATTGCCAACCCATAGTGATCCTGGAGGACAGGCTTGAGCTGCCCCCATGAGTTCCCGGGACTGTAACTCTTCATGGGTGTCGAAAGCCCTGTCTCTCACTTGTGATGCAGCTGCTGGTTTCAAACTGCTGAGCCACCATGCCACTGGGGCTCCTCTTCTTTTTGTAAAAACAAGTTTAATTAGACATTGCAAGATTTCACATTTGCTGTACCTTAGTTGTCAATAAGGGGACATCTGATTTTTGAGTTTCCTGGTGTTTCATACTTGTAAATGGAAAACTTCTCCTGTCTGCTTGTACTGATTTTGTTGAAGAAACTACAGAACAGGTAAATTATATGTAAGAAATCTGTGATACATTTGAAAGCAAGATTCATTTTAAACAAATAATATTGAAGTATGCATCATACTAATAAAAAAAAGCAGATATTTCCTAAAGTTTTTCCACATACAGGCATAACATATGGTAGTTTCCGCCCCCCACCCCCCACCCCCGCTATTTCTCTCCCTTGTGTTATTTTGGGCCTGTCAGAGTGGTGTAACAGAACAAAATGTTAGGGTAAGAGCATTGCTGCTGACAGTATTCGAGTGTCCCTGCTTGCATAAAGCATTCACCACTGTAGACATGCAACTGCAAAAAGTCGACCCACTATGATGGTCTGTGTCAGAGTTCTCAATTATTAATGCTAAAGTGTATGTCTATTAATCGCGACTTTACTTCCTTTGATATGTTCTTTCCTTTAAGCCACCCATGACTGATTTTATGCTCGTCTCTGGTGACTGTGATTCTGGATAATAAACCAGAAGTAAGGAAAGGAAGGCAAGGGAATTTGAGGTTGCTGCCTTTGGAAGTAAGCATGTCGTTACTTCTCCTACCAAAACTGAGCCGGAGTACAGTCATGTTCTGCATAATGATGGCACATGCATCCAGCCACGGCAAAGCTTATTATATTAAAAAATTGAGGTACATACAATGGTTCACAGTAACAAACAGATGCCACTTTGTCATGCACATCAAGACATCATTATTACTGTATTATTATATTAAAGATGTTTTGGTATTTTTGAAAGAAATTAATGTTTTTTTGCAGAGAAAGTTATGTATATATTATACTAGAACAAACATTTGACTGGCATTAGGTATGTACCATGCTCAACTTTTCTGATTTATGTATAAATTTGACTAAAAGACAGATTTAGGAAAAGTACTCCTCTATAATCTGAGGACTGCCTATTTACATGAAGGGATTCAAAAAGTTTATTGGAAAATGAAATGAAAAGACAATGGAATTTTCCACCAATTTTTGAAGCCCCCTTGGAATTTGGTGTTTGCACAATGCCCAAATCACATGACGTCTTCACAGAATGTGTCATGGGCATTAAGTGACACATGATGGTACTCTATCTCTATTGTGCCTCTTTTCAGGAAAACTTTATGCTGAGTGTGATAGGTAGGTTTATTGTGCCAATGTGGCCAATAGGAACATGTGGGATTAACAAGGTCACAGTTTGACTGGAGGGCAAAGAGATAAATGGCTCAGCAAGCCCCACCTGTCTCTCTCTTGCTCTCTGGTGATTGGACCAGTGTGTGGCTGTCTTAACAAGTTCTCTTCCTCAGCTTGTGAACTACACTACCTGTGAGACACCCAACCCATGGACTGCGTCACTACAGCTTGATGTTCCTTTGAGACCTGCTTTGCCACACTACTGGTGTATACATCGTTTGAGTTAGGGACTATCAGATCCTGTTATCTGGCTGACTGTTGGTGACACACCCTGCTGTTTGCTGCCTGTGGCAGAACTGTCTGCATTGCCCTAAAGAAGACTCGGCTGTCTGTTTCCTTGACCTTGGGTTCAGCAGCCCTCGTGAGTTGAAGGACATCCATTATATTAACTGTTTCATGGAAGTGAGTTGAACTGAGCCCTCTGTACTGTTGTGTGGACTAATTAGCTGTTATATTCCTTTGTGATGTATATAGCTAGCTATATATATATATACACACACAATATCATAAGTGTCCTGGTTTTGTTTCTCTAGAGAACCCTGTCTAACATACTGGGAGATTCTTTTGGGTGGGTGGCGGGGAGGAGGGGGGGCAGGAAATGGAGTATGTACTGCCTTGAAGGAAAAAGTACTACTTAGCAATACCAAGGTACTTAGCAACACCATGGATTAATTTTAAAAACATGCAAACCAACGAATCCAAATACAAAGAATACTTGCTGTATGATTCTGCTTACATAAAATTCTAGACACCAGGGGCTTAGTTGGAGAGCAAATGTTTTGAGAATGATGAGGGCAATGAATGTACACATGTGCTTCACACAATTGATGTATGTATGGATTGTGATAAGAGTTGTATGAGCCCCTAATAAAACAATTTAAAAAAAAAGAAAAAAAATTCTAGACAGTAGAGAAACTATTGTTTGTCCTGGGCCAAGGGTGGGGGGCTACTGACTATAAAGGGACAGGAAGCTTCCTGGGAGATGGAAATGTTCTGAATCTTGATTAGGGTGGTGGGTACATGGGTGTACATATTTGGCATAAAACCAATGAAGTATATCCTTCAAACGGATGGATGTTACTTATGCAAATTAGACATAGAATATTTAACATTTGGTGGACACTTTGCTTCAGGCTGAAAAATTATCCTCTAATCCACCTGGAGTACAGCCACCAGTGACTAAGCAGAATGGCAAGAGAGGAAAGCACTTCAATTATTTTCTAGTTATTGCAACCATTGGAAGGTAAGAAAAGAAGTATTGTTACAAGAGCATGCTATTGTTGTTTTTGTTAGGTTCCATCGATTTGGTTCTGACTCATAGTGACCCTATGTACAACAGAATGTAACACTGCCTGGTCTTGGCCAATCTTCACAATTGTTTGCTGGAGTTCCTTGTTGAAGCCACAGTGCTAATGTATAACACTGTCGGTCTTCCTCTTTTTTACTGTCTCTCAGCTTTACCAAGCAAGATGTCCTTTTCCAGGGATAGGTCTCCCCTGACAACATGCCCAAAGTACAAGAGATGAAACTTCACCATCTTCACTTCCAAGGAGCATTCTGGCTGTACTTCTTCCAAGACAAATTTGTTTGTACTCTTGGAAGTCCATGGTACTTCCAATATTCTTTGTCAGCACCATAATTCAAGTTCATTGATTTTACTTTGGTCTTTGTTATTGAATGTCCAATTTTCACATGCATATGAAGTGATTGAAAATACCATGGCTTGGGTCAGGCACTCTTTAGTCTTCAATGTAACACTCTTGCTTTTCAACACCTTAAAAGAGGCCTTGTGCAGCGACTTAGCTAATGCAATGCTTCCTTTGATTTCTTGACTGCTGCTTCCACGAGTACTGATTGCGGATCCAAGCAAGATGAAATCTTTGACATCAATCTTTTCTCCATTTATCATGATATTACCTATTGGTCCAGTTGTGAGGATTTGGGTATTCTTTACATTGAGTTGTAATCCATACTGAAGACTGCAATCCTTGATTATCATCAGCAAATACTTCAAGCCCTCCTCATTTTCAGCATGCAAGGTTGTGTCATCTGCTTATTGAAGGTTGTTAATAAGCCTTCTTCCCCTCCTGATGCCACGTTCTGATGTCATGTAGGCCAGTTTCTCTGACGATTTTCTCAGTATACTGACTGAATAAGTCTTGTGAGAGGATACAACCCTGAAGCACACCTTTTTGGATTTTAAACCATGCAGTCTTCCCTTGTTCTGTTCACACATCTGCCTCTTGATCCATGTACAAGTTCTGTATGGGCACAATGACATAAAGCAAAACAACTCACCGCTACCAAGTCAATGCAGACTCATAGTGACCCTATAGGACACCAGAACTGCCCCTTTGACTTTCTGAGGCTGTAACGTTTTACAGAAGTAGAAAGACTCATATTTCTCCCAATGGGCACTTGGTGGTTGTGAATTGCTGACCTTTTGATTAGCAGTCCAACATGTAACTACCATTTCACTGGGATGCCTTAAGCACAATGAAGTATTGTGGAATTCCCATTCTTCTCAAGACTAACCACAGTTTGTTAGGATTCACACAGATAGCTTTTGCACAGTCAATACAACACAAGTAAACATCTTAACCTCTGGCAATCCCTGCTCCAATTGTTTTTGAATGATAATTGGCAAAATTTTACTTTTATGTAATATCACTGATATTCTTTTATAATATGCACATTCGGGTCACCTTTCTTTAGACTGGGTATAAATATGGATCTCTTCTAGTCAGTTGGCTAGCTGTCTTCCAAATTTCTTGGCATAGACATGTGAATGCTTCCAGTGCTTAATCGGCTTGCTGAAGATTTCTGTTGGTCGATTTCTGTTCCGTCAATTCCTGGAACCCTGCTTTTGGCCAATGCCTTCAGTGCAGTGTGTACTTCTGTCAGTACCATTAATTCTTGATCGTTTGCTACATCTTGAAGCAAAATTATCGAAACCTTTATTAAAAAAAATATCAAAATGGGAAGCTATTGCTTCTCCACATATCCTCCATGAAGATCTGTAAACTTCTGAAGGTGGTGTTTCCATCTCTCTAGCCCTTCACCAAAGGATTCTGTGCTGTTTGATTTGCACCATGTAAAATGGAAGTTTTGGCATTCTTGAAGGGCTTAAATTATGCTCCTTTTCAATGTTCTTTCAGTTTGGGGAGTAAAAAGAAGTCTACAGGAGATTAGGGCTGTAGGATGGATGGGGTAAGGTCTCTCCTGATGAGATTCTGTAGGACAGCTCTCTCTACCCTCAAAGAATGATGGCAAGAAAATTCCTTGCTGCAATTTTCCTGGCTGCTTTCTCATTAGCTTTCAATTTTCTTAAAATTTATTCCTAAAAAGTCCCATGATCATCCTGTGTCCTTTGAGAAAATCTATCAAGACTAACATCTTGGGTTTTCAAAACATAATCACACAGCCTTTTGAAGTCTCAGCCTTTATTTGAGCTCACCCAGTACACTGCCTCAGAACACAATGTTTTGATTGAATGTCTTTTTGAAGGTCCCCTGATCAGACTAGAACAAGTGTATCACCGAGAGAACTTGTTGTCAGCCATTCGCTGGTCAGAGATATGTTTAAACATGTTTCATCTGGAATAAAACTGTATGAACTGAAGCCCTAGTAACAAAATATTTTGAGTTACCATTATAACACAGTTTCATTATTTGTCTAGAATTGTGAAAATGACCAGTAAAATGATTTTTTAAAACTATAAAATAAATGTTAAAACCTATTCACTAGCTACTCGGAATGTGACCGAAAAGCTGATTTCTCAGAGTGGAGTCGACCATGGTGACGTGAGCGGGAGAAGCCTGTGGGAGTGGACCCTTCAGGATTTTCAGTTGCTAGAAGAACTCACTAGTCTATGCCAGGAAGTTTGGAAGACAGCTACTTGGTCAACTGACTGGACGAGATCCATATTTGTACCCATTCCAAAGAAAGGTGACCCCATAATATTACTGATATTACACGGGAGTAAAATTTTGCTGAAGATAATCCAACAACAGATGCAGCAGTACATTGAGAGAGCTACCAGAGGTTCAGGTTGAATTCGGAAGCTGTGGAACAAAGGTTATCATTGCTGATGTCATGCTGATGATCTTGGCTCAAAGCAGACAATACCAGAAAGGGGTTTACTGGAGTTTATTGACTATGCCAAGGAATTCTACTGTGTGGATCATAACAAACTACAGATAGTCTTGAACAGAATAGGACTGACAGAACACTTCCTTGTACTCATGCAGAACTTGTACGTGGACCAAGGGGCAGCTGTGTGAATGGAATAAGGGAATACTGCCTAGTTTAAAATGAAGAAAGGTGTGTGACAGAGTTGTATCCTTTCACCATACGTGATCAATCTGTGTGCTGAGCAGACAATCAGCGAACCTGGCTCAGGTGAAGAAGAATGTGGCATTGGAGAATCAGGATTGAAGGAAAGCTTTTAACAACCTATGGTATGCAGAAGACACAACCTTCCTTGCGGCAAGTGAGACAGACTTGAAGCACTTGCTGATGAAGATCAAGAATTTCACCTTCAGTATATATTATGACTCAACGTGAAGAAATGCTCACAAGTGGACCAATAGATCCAGTTTATCACATCATGATAAATGTAGAAAAGATTGATGTTGTCACGATTTCGTCTTGCTTGGATCCACAATCAATGGTCACGGAAGCAGCAGACAAAAGACCAAAAGATACATTCTACAGGCCCATTAGGTAAATCTGCTGCACACAACCACTTTAGAGTATTGAAAAACAAGGATGTTACTTTGAGGACTAAGGTGTGATTGACCCAAGCCACGGCATTTTCAATCACTTCCTATGCATGTGAAAGCTGGGCACTGAACAAGGAAGACCAAAGAAGTATCTGTGCATTTAAATCGTGGTGCCGGAGAAGAATATTGATAGAACCATGGTCTGCTCATAGGACAGACTGATCTGTCTTGGAAGAAGTATAGCCAGTGTTCCTTAGAGGAAAGGATGGCAACACTTTAGCTTACATAAGTGGACAAGTTGTTAGGAGCCTGTAGTCCCAGGAGAAAGGCAGCATGCTTGGTTGAGGGGTAGTGAAAAAGAGGAAGGCCCTCAACGAAATGGATTGATACCATCGCTGCAACAATGGGCTACGCACAGGAACAACTGTGAGGATGGCACAGGACCGGGCAGTGTGTCATTCTGTTGTGCATAAGGTTGCTAGGGGTTGGAACTGATTTGATGGCACCTAACAGCAGCATTCATTATCCTGACTACGTAAATTAGGTAAACATGAATAGATATTTAAAAATACATTTTGAGGAAAATAATTACAACATACCTTTTGGATAATCATCTTTGTCATGCAAATTTTGAAGTATTCGATTAGTATAGATGTTTTTAATTTCAAGCTCTCGATCTTTCTCCTAAAAAACACCCCCCCCACAATATCAAAATTTATATGAATGCTTTCTTTTAAAAATTAGTTTAATGAGGTTGGCATCCTTGGAATAAAATCGATATATTCTAGCAGAAACATAAACAGGTCATGTCATTTTATAGGCAATCCCAGATTCTGAATGTTTAATTTAGGACAACTCTATAGGCCCTTTAGTATGATGTAAATTTATCCTTTTCAAGAATTGAAGCAGACCAACCCTACTTGCAACAGATTCTTATCACAGTCACCTTCACTTGCTGCATGAGCAGCTTTTAAATAATCCCTTTTTGGTGCAGGGTTGGTGGGGCACTAAAGGAAGGATAAATACCATATGCATTGATCCAATTTACCTACAAATTCCACTTATAGACACGCTTAGAAATTTGTTCTTAATCCGGGGACTGCCTGACATCACGAAGTACTAGTAATGAGGACCATGATTTTGAAAAAACTTGCCTGCTGGCTTCTTCCATTGTTTCTTTTGGGCTCCTTGGGCCTTTGCCATGATGATGACTTGGTGTGGATACACTTATAAAAAGGAGGCTATTGTTTAGCTTTACATTCACTTTTTTTTAAATTAAAAACATTTTTTTTTACATTCACTTTTTTTGAGCTTTTCAAAACAAAAGTTTCGAAATTCAGACTTGTTGGGAAAAAACCAAAATGGGTTTATTACATTTCAATGACCCTTCTTGTTTTGGACTGAAGACTGCTGGATTTTCGTGAAAGTCACCTTCCAGAGAGGTGGGCCTATGTGAGTTAAGAAGTCTTCCAACACATGACTAGAAAGGATAGGCCAGGACTGTGAGAGTGACACAGGGGGGCAGTGAGGACGAGAAAAACAGGTGCCTGTCTCCCCAAGCCTTCCTAGGGTCAAATCTATAGGCCAAGGAATATTCAGGAGTAAAGAAAGAACTCTGCCGTTTGGAGAGTCCCAGGCACTCGAGTAACATGCTATCACCTTAGAACGAAATGCAATGTCTCGGCCAGGGGCCAATGGCAGTAGTTCCCTTAGTGTGCAATGAGTGGGGTGAGCTGAGGGGAACTGAGCGGAAAGTCATGGAACCTGCTCTGGAGTCCTCAAGGCTATGAGTCCAGGTGATCCCGTAGCAGAGGCTTTAGCAGAGAATCTGCCAGGGATCACATGGAGAATGTAACTACGATCCCAGCGCATTTGCACCACCAATTGGCAAGGTGGTAGCAACAAGATTTTGAGATCATATTGAGAAGAGACTACAAACTTCACCAGCCACATTGAGTGCACTTCAGACAGGTCCTTAGGAACCTCACTAGTTAAGGCTCGGCAGTAGCACTATGTTTAGAGAGGAATCAAAGGTCATCTCTTCCACCATCAATAGGACAGGTGCATTTCTCCTTATTCCTAGATGCTAGCTCCACCAAGACATGAGGGTGGTAAAAAACTATGAGACAAAAAACTATGAGACAACCTATGACTGTTTTTCCCTAGAGGACACCGAGACAAGCTTGCATCAATTTCTCTTTGCTCATTCCCATGCCCACTCCCTATCCATGGAACGGAGGGCACAAGGAATTGAAAATTCAATCAGAAGACCATTACATATTTTAACACATCTCAACTGTATACTTTTTGTACTCCTTTGGGCTATAAATACGTTTTACTAACAGAGATTAAACAATAGATAAAATACGAGGATATCAATCTCTTCTAGAATTCAGATTTCTTTTTCTTATTTTAGAATTTAGGTTTCTAGAAGCCTAATGTCATAGTGTGTCACTCCTTTCTTTTTGTGATACTTCACATAGCAGTGCTGGGACGAGTTTAGTCTATAAAAAATTAACCAAGTATATTCTGGATATTATTAAAAAATAAGCATACTGTACAAAACATTTTAGAAAGACGTTTTCATCCACAATGGCCAAGACAAGAAAGATTCTGATGTTCAGAGGAAAGGTTTCGGTTACCTGTAAAATTCCGTGATCCAATTGATGTGTGTATGGATTGGGATAACAGTTGTATGAGCCCCTAATAAAATGTTAAAAAAGAAAAAAAAACAAACCCAAAAAACAACCAAAAAAAAAAAATTCAGTGATCACCTTTGATTTGATTTGGGCCTCACAGGACAAGTATGTGCTTCAGCAGCAGATATCTGAAAGGAGGCACTATACACTGAGAAATGCTGGCTGGCACACAGCTGGCACCGGGTGGTTGGGCCAAACAGAAGTGACAGCCCTCCTTCAAGCTTGGAACAAAGATTTAAGTCTGGGTACACGCAACAAAACTGGACCAAAATGCAAAAAATAGGTTTGGAACACAATCTTGGATACTTTGTGACTAAAGTCAATCAGTCAATCAAAGGAAACAGTAAGAAAGAAAATTGATAGGGTGGGGCGGGAGGGGAAAAATGAGGAGCTGTTGTGATAAGAATTGTACGAGCCCCCAATAAAATGATTTAAAAAAATAAATGAGCTGATACTCAGGGCTCAAGTAGAAAGCAAATGTTTTGAAAATGAGTATGGCAACAAATGTACAAATGTGCTTGACACAATGGATGGATGTATGGATTATGAGCCCCCAATAAAATGATTAAATAAAAGAAAGAAAATTGATATCCAGGAATATTCAGTGGCATTCTGTGGAATACCCATAGAAGAGACTTTTCAGAAACTCAGAGGGGTACTGTATTGTCAGATATAAGTAGAAATTTGGGCCAGGGGTATGGGATCAAGTAAAGACTAATGATGCCTTCCAAAAATTAGACAGGAAATAGTCTTAATATACACCACCCCTTTGCAGGGGCGAAATTATACCCAAAATGTAAACTCGTTTGGGAATTCTGGAGGCTGACATCGGTCACCTTCCTTTAGTTTGGTCTCTAGAGCAGGGCCTAGCCTTGGTGCTGGATGACTTTGATAATGAGTTCCAAAGTAGAAAAACAAGACAATAATCTTTGGGACCATACTTTCCCATGCTCAAGCAATACTGACTAAAATTACTGTGGGAAAATGTATTTTACAAAAAATCTCACAGGATATTCCTGTGCTTTTCCAGATCGTGCCTGCCCCCCACCCCCACCCCCTGCCCGCATCAAGTAGCATGCTCTGCTCCTTCCGTGAACCCTCTTGGTCAATGGAATGCAGTGGAAGGGATGTGGCGGGACTACTAAGGCTAGGTCACAAAAGCAATGTGGTTTTGCCTGGCTCTTTCTCTCGAGACTCTTGCCCTTGGATTCAGCCACCAGGTGATGAGGAGGCCTGGGACACAGAGAAGCCACGTGGAGCAGCCAACAACCCAGCGAAGGTGTCAGCTGACAGCTGGCTCCAACTGTAGGCATATGAGTGAATGAGCTTTAGGTAATCCCAGCTCCCAACCTGAAGCAGAGAGGAGCAAATCCTGCCCAAATTATAGGTTCGTAAACAAAAGAAGTGCCACTGTTTTAAACCCTGATAAGTTTTGGGACAATTTGTTATGTAAACACAGTAACTGGAACCATTAGGATCCCAAGATGTGCTTAAAGTTTGTATTTCTCTTCCCTTTGGATCAACACTAGGAATGACCATGGAAGCAAAGCATACAGGGCAACCTCACTTTTCTAGGTGAAGCAGGACTGCTGGCTTGTGGTGCATGTCCTGAACAAAGAAAGAAAGTATAGGTGATAGGGCCTGGGTTTCAGGACTGGGCTATGGAAAATGAGACAATGGGTTGCTTTATTTTGTGTAGCATGCGGAGTACCTTATTTCCCTCCTTACCTATTTTTTGCTTTCCTGCTCTTTGTTTTGGGAGCTTTCCTCAATAGTCCTACATTTCCTTTATTTTGTAGCTCTTCTCTTGAATTTTATATTTTAGCAATCATATTTTGTTTTCTGAGTTTCTCCTTGTTAGAACATCTTATTCTTTATTTATGGATACAATATCTCTAGTGCTGGTATATTAAACTCTTTTCTTTTTTTCCACAAACAGTTTTATTGGCACATAATTTATGGCCTGGATTAATAACTTCACCTGATGTAAAATCCTAAGTCCAGCATTAATAGGGAAGTTCATTTCTTGGGCAGGCAGGCTCCTTCCTGAGTGGAAGGCAGGCTGGCATGAGGTAAATCAGTGGATCTGTTGACTGAGTGCCTCCAAAACTCTAGAATTACAAGGGCATACATCTGAAATACAAAGAAGCCCTATGTGGCAAAGTGGTTAAGCACCCTGCTGCTAACCAGCCATGCCATGGGAAAAAGATGTGGCCAAGTGCTCTCTTAAAGATTTACAATCTTGTATTTAGGGAGGGTACGAGCAGAGGGCCAAAGTCCATCCACTACCTCAGTGTATTGCCATATAAATATACGTACATAGGCCAATACCTCTATTGTTAAGGATTAACGTATTTACATATGGACACACCAATGCTTAGGTAAAATTGATATATGGATTGTAATAAGCATTGTAAGAGCCCTCAATAAAATGATAAAAAAACTCAAAAAAGAGAAAAAAATCAATTTATTAAAAAATGAATCTATTAAATAAATAAGAAAAAAAGGTTTACAATCTTGTAAACCTTGTGAGGCAGTTCTACTAGTCCTATAGGGTTGGAATGGATTCCATGACCATGGATTCCATTTGCTGTTTCTCTGTAGGATAGCGACACACTCCTATAGTCCCACTTTTTACTTCCCCACAAGCGATTTATTCACTCTCCTGGACTACAGACTTTTGGCCTGGTGGTCAGTGCTGGGCCCGCTGACATGTACAGTGCTGAGGAGGAGGGAGGGGCAGATGCCTTGTTCTGCAGGCAGGCTGTGAATTCACGCTGTCCTCACGCTTCTCACTCCTGCCCACTATACCTGCCTACTATTAGAAAAACGCCCTTCCACGGCTCCAGCTTTCTGCCATCCATATCAGAAATGCCTCCGTGCACGTTTTGTCTTTAATACATCTACCAAACGCCATTTAAAAATCTTTTACTGATGTTTCATTCCAGGTTTGTGGAGGTAAGTTTGTGGAGGCAGTCTACAAGT